CCCTTGTAAGAACAGAATGAAGGTCACCATCAGACACAGACAACAACAAAACAATACACTGGTAGAGGACACTACAAATCTAAACATAATAAATTAAAGTTTTTACATACGTACTGTACATCATTTGTGTTTTTTCTCATTTGGTATTGATCATTTTCTGTTGTGGATGTTATATCTACCCAGCATTACTAACAGATGAATTTTAAATGCATGTTATTTTTCCAGATCTTTATTTACGTCTTGTATAGTATAACACATTAATTCACATTAAAATGCTGAAAGATAAAGTCCATCCAAACAGCTGTGTGTTATGTATACAAGTGTCAGATAAGTGTGTCAGAGCTGTGATGGGGCGTCTTGCAGACAGGCTGGTGTCCCAGTGCGAGAGCTCGGTGATTTCAGGCTGGCGGAGACAACGAGGAGGTGAAGATGACTGAGGCAGGTCAGAGAGTAGTCACTCCTACCACCACAAAGCCCTGCTGGGCCAAGAGCTGAGCCCAGAGAAGAGCCCCCTGAGCCAGCTGGTCCTGAGGCTCACCGACCTGAGCCACACCAACCCTAACCAGCCTCAGGACAGCATTGCTAGAGCACCACAACCCAGACTCAACCACATCACAGCACAGATCAAACAGCAATATCTCACACACTGGGACACACACACACACAAACACACACACGCAAACACTGCACACCTGGAGACCAGACTCCAGCAGGAATGTGCTATCAACTCTCTAATATCTTTCCCTCTGTTTGCAGAGTTTGAGAGGCTTCGCAAACATGCAGGTGAGTCTGTTGTCACAAAGGTCACAGCAGGGTCACAGGGGTCAATACAGGCTCTTACTCTAACAGGGGGAGATGTTGTAACTCCTGCTTTATACACAGCTGATGTGTTTAATGTTGTGAGCAAAGTCCCTCTGATGGGCTTTGTCCTTATCAGGACTGATGAGGAATTGGACCCCAACACTGTGGCACACTGTGGGGACCCCAACACTGACCCATGTCTTGGGATCCCCAATACACAGATTGAAGACCCCATCGCTGTGTCAGGACTGCAGTTCTCTGTTCCATCATTGTGAAACAGAGGATTTTAATCCTGTTAGACCTGTAAATTAGAATCTACACTGACAACTAGGAGCCTGCAGACACACACATCACACCAATATGAATTTAATCAATCACCAGTTCGTGATGGGCTATCATCAAAGTGGTTTAAGACATTTACAAAAAATCTCTTTTGTCTTGTCTTCCTTTAACTGGACCCTTCAAAACCAGTTTGTACTCCCTCTCAGTTATCCCTAAGGAGGACAAAGAGAGTTATGGAAAAACTAAAGGTTTATTCCCTTCTGAACATTTCTTGTTCCTTTGCAGCTACCTACTTGAACTAGAAAGAGATTTATGCAATTCATTCTGGATAATTGCAAATTTAAATTGAAATTCATATTATATGAATCTAATAGATCTAAAAGGTTGGAGATTTTTATGTGAGAGTTTTTGGATTTATTCATGACAGTCAGACCCAGGACAATATCAGGAGAACACTTCACGTGCTTTAGTAAAGGAGAACAGATCAGAGCAATCCCAGTGAGCTCAGGCACTAAAAAAGCTTCTGACTGTGTGAATGTAGAATATTTGTTTGAAGTATAAGAGAGGTCTTGATTGAAAGAAGAGTTAATTGTTTTTTGAGAACTGTACACTCACACCCCATAGCTAGAATACAGGTAAATGTCAACCTCACAGGCAGCACTGCTTTAGAAAGGGGGACACTTCAGGGATCCCCACTAACCCCCATTCTGTTCACTCTCTATATCGTACCCCTTGCCCATGTAATTAGGCAGGATCATGGCATAAAGGGAACAATAATAAAATATATAAGATTATATGTAGTACAATATAAGAGAAGAAGCTGCGCTGGAGAGGCTGGCGCCGGGGCAGCACAGACACTCTTCAGCAGGGAGGTCTGCAGACTCCTGTGTGACTTTGGACTGCGGCTCTGTGCCTGTAGTGGGGAAACAGACAGCCTGTGCTGTGTCACAGTCACTGCTGCAGCAGCAGGAAAGCTTCCTTCAGCTCAGAGCTGGGATTGTAGGGATGAGATGGGGTCTTCAGCCCAGAGTCAGATTCAGCAGGGTTCTAGTCCCTACATGGACAGAGACTGATGTCACTTGTCATTCCTGCTCTGTCTTCTTCTCCCAATCATCTCGCCTTTTCCTTATCTCTGTCTGGCTTACATGTGCTTGTGAGGAGCAGTAGAGGAGGTCCGCAGTAGACCTTACTAATAAGGGCAAAGGAATAAACTTCCATAAACAGTATGATGCATTTGGGTTATACCACCCCTAAAAGCTCTGCTCCTTGTGGCATCACACTGGAGAGTTTCATAACTGCTAACCAAAGCCTAGTGTTCAACTGATCTTCCATCCTAGTGACAGGATGGAAGATCAGTGATCACTCTCCAGCTGAAGGGAAACTCATGTTTCAATAGGAAGAAGCTCAGCTGTCAGGTATCAGGACCACAAGGACCCACAGATTACTGACTTTACTGACCCACTGAGATTAGATCTGAGTGTCTCTCAGAAACACTTTCCCATTCCAGTCAGACCCCCAGACACAGAGTCTGAATATTTATAGTATCTTGTGTGATAAGAACAACTAGAACCTTAAACTAGCTTAAACCAGCTACAGATTAATAGTAAAAGAATGTAAATATAAAACAGACAGGAAACAAAAATTGTCACTGTAACTGGAAACTCACAATAATCCACCAAGCATAAGAGAGTGAGGATCTTCTCAATTATTACATCTATTTTTTCATAATTATGTATTCATAATTTGTTATGATTATACAATCCATTATTTTATCTTTAGAATTATGTGTATCAATTATAGAATCTTCTCTCTTCCTTCCATCTTGACTTTCTCTCCAGCTCCTGCAGGGCCTGTCCAGTCAGTGGAATTGCTCTGGACTGCAGCTTAGGCCACTATTAATATTAAATTTAGCTTCTGTGTTTCCAAAGCAGACCAGCCATTTTCTCCCTCAGTGTAGTGTTCAGGCTGTAGTGATCTGGGTTCAAGAACAGACTTAGTGGTGTGTTTGACTCTGAGTAGATCAATCAGTCCAACATCAGTTCATTAACCATCATCGTCAGTGAATGTTGGGGTACTTACCTGAGATTTCAGGGTGTCCTCACAAGCAGGAGGATTAAATTTAGCTTCTGTGTTTCCAGATCAGACCGGTCTGTTTCTTCCTCAGTGTGACACAGTGTCTGAGCTCTAATAATGTGTAAGAATATAATAGTCCCTTATAGTAGCTGGGAGATATTTAAGTTTAAACTGTGGGACCTTTTCCAGGGCAAGTGAACTACAATGATCTGTTTCCTGCCAAAAAAAAAAAGAACTACACTCACACTCTCCAGCAGTAGGGAAAGGAAGGGGCAGTAGGGTACTGAGCCATGAATTGTCCTTTGAGGAATAGATTTTGTTTCACTTAGAATTAGTGGTGCAAAAAATTCATAATGTTTGTATATACATGGTCCATATCTAGGTTTATATAATGGATAGTTCTGGTCCTGAAAGCTGATTGGCTGACATGCTGTAATCTCTGATATACGCCAGAAGGAATTTTGACTTTTTACTGTGTGATAAAGAAATATCACTGCCTGATAAATAACGGTCAATCACATCAATCAAATTGGCTTTTTTTTTATTATCTTGCAATAATGTTGCCAAGAGCATCTAGAACAAAAATTTACACCAACCACTGCTTTCGTAGCACAATGGTGCAGAAATGATCAAGCGCTCGGTTAGAAGCAAGGAAGATTATATCTGTAAACACGAGAGGAATTCACTAAGGAATGATTGGAAACCTAATTTTAATGACAAAGCGCTTGATATCCTGGCAGGCACGGAGACCAGCACCAGTGGGAGCACTCTCGCAGCGAAAAAGAAAACGCCCGACGAACTTGGGATAAGACAGTTTTTAAAAGCTTGTGCGATCAGTGGAAATGTTCAAAAAAATGTGCACAAGAAATAAAAAAAAAACAAGTCATTTATTCCTTTATCATATTTGCTAGCTTATGTCCTCTCTGCTAGTTAATGTTACTTATAGCTGTGTTTCTGCATTGCGTATCAACGAGGGACTATGTGCTCTGGCAGAGGAAAGTAAACAGCTTAATTTTCATGTTAAATATTTTTTTTAAATAAAAATTCATTCTATACAGCAATCTCATGTTTGGCAATCATTTTATTAAGGCAATAGGGCACTCGCAACCTGTGCTATATCATGAATCGATATCGCCTTTCAACTGTGACTATATTCACTTAAACAATATAGGGACAAATAAAGCAATGTAAAATAGAATGTAAAATAGAAAGAAAAACATGTTTTGGTTGTTGTGCATCTTGGGTGAGATATACAGTCCAGTATATGTATATACATAATCTACAGTATTTACTGTATATCTATATCTGTATCCATCTACAGTAGAGTACAGATGCAGTCTGTACAGGACACACCTGCTGTTTTATTCCCACAGTGACAGGACTCTGGACCCTGATACAGTGAACACAGCCTTTGTCCTGGTCTTCTCTCTTCAAGTCTGGCTCCTCTCAGAGCTCTGATCTCTGTTCCCACAGTGTCTTGGTCCCTCACACCACAGCTCCCCTGTGTGACACGGTGTGTGTCTCAGCGCTGCTCCCTGAGTCTCTCCTGACTCGACTCCTCCTCACCTGCAGGGGTCGCTGTTTCCCCTGCCTCACTCATGGCTCTCCCTGTAGCCACAGCTGGGGAAGCAGGCAGCCCATCAACTCTCTCTCTCTCTCTGACTCTGCTCCTGTCTGTTAGAGAGAAACACACCCAGCTGCTCCTTCCTCAGTCATACAGATAAGAGCACAGGGGTGTTAAAGTGCAGCACTGCTCTCCAGGACCAGCCCATAGAGTCCCTGCAGAAGGAGTGAATCACTCCTGCTGCTGATTGAGTTGTGTTTCTGTCAGGATGTACTTCTTGACAATTTTCCAGAGTCTTATCATTAATGGCCATAATTGAATCAGATTCAAATTCAGTAATTGTTTCTTGGTAGGGACAAACATATTTCACAGGTGCAATCTGACTTTAAATTTCATATAATCTGCAGGAGACCCTTGTGATGTTTCCTGTTTTATTCCCACAGCTGACGTGACTCTGGACCCTGATACAGCTCACTGTGATCTCTCCCTGTCTGAGGATGGGAAGAGAGTGAGATTGGGACAGAAGAGTTTTGATTCCTGGCTCTGTGTCGAGAGCAGGGAGAGTTTCACCTCAGGGAGACACTACTGGGAGGTGGAAGTGAATGACAAGTGGAGAATAGGACTGAGCAGAGAGTCAGCAGAGAGGAAAGGAGTCGTCAGCATCTCTCCTCAGCAGGGTTACTGGTGTCTGGACTCTGACCCGACTGATTTCTCTGCTCTCACTGACCCTGAGACTGATCTCCCCTTCAGTCTGCGGCCCAGGAGGCTGGGGGTGTGTGTGGATATTGAGGACAGGAAGGTTTCCTTTTACACAGTGGAGTCCAGGACTCACATCCACACCTTCACTGACATGGTCTTCAATCAGGGGGAGAAGATCTATCCTGTCTTCTGGACCTGGGATTCAGATAAAAACCTTGTGCTGCTGCCTGCTGTCAGCTGTGGAGATTAAACTATTGATAGTATTCGTAGTTTAAACAAAAAATACACACCAGTTTTTCACTTTCTTCCTAAACATTTTAAGCATTAAAGTCTTTCATTTGGTTAAATACTGTGGTTATTTAGGAAAAGTTTTTACGTGCTCCTTCTGACTATATTAAGTTTATATACTTTGTGAAAAGTTATAATGTTTTAACCTTTTCTGCAAATACTTAAGCTCATTATCGCAGTAAAAAAATGCATACTTTCTAGAATTTGATTAATGGGGAATATACTTTAAAATGGAATCACATATCTAAAGCAATTAATAATGATATAATTGTATTCATATACTGTAGCTCAAATTATCATACTGTAGTAGTACACTTTCTTTGGAAATGTCTGCATCAGTTTAATTCAGTCCCATGTGATTACATGTGTGGAGTGATCACTTTAGCGTGTGCCTTGCATGCCTGAGGTCAGGCATTTGAGCCCCCAGCTGTCACCATGAGATTTCTTTTAACATATATACATTTCTTTGAAAAACTAAAATAGATCATATTAGGGACACTATATTGACATTTGTGATATTTCTAAATATCACAACATGTTCGAAGCTAAGTGATTTATTAATAACAACAAATAATTTCAAACTGCCACTACCGTCATAATTACTCATCATAAATATTATCGACACTATATTGAATTTGTTGGTATTTCTAAATATCGCAAACCGTTTAAAATTCACATCCTTGCAAAACAATCATGACGTTCTCATCCAATCCAAGGTTTGATGTTTTTTTTATTTTGAAACCGTGATCTTGACAAACTCGTTCAGAGCGCCCTACATTACAAACGTTCTTCATGAAATTCTTTAAGACGAAGGAAGAAGGGTTATTTTTTGGCACTCCAAGATTCTTACTGATTTAATTCCCCTCATTTAGCTGAAACAGATAAAGAAATCATGCAGTAGTTACAGTAAGGGAACAAGTAATACAGTAGGTAATATCAAGTAACAATAATTCCATGCTGAAAAGAGAAGAGAAAACACAACGTTTCGGCTGTGAAGCCGCCTTCCGATATTGGCTCGTCAGTATAGTACACGTTTATCTGTACCATTACTGCAGGTACTACCGGACTACGGCCAAAATCACGAAGACTCTCCCACACCAAATAATGAAGATGAAAAGAAATGGGAAGTCAACAAGAAACAGCTTCTGAAAACTCCAGCTGAATCCCCAGATTTAAATCCAACTCAAACAAGTGTTGTACATTGGTAATGTCATCTCCATTAAACAATGTGCTTATCACGCAAATCCTGCTTAACTAAAACGAAGACACAAGAAGAGTATTATTGGAATTTCTCTGTAAACTGAGGAGTTAAAGAGGAGACACGTTGTGTATCGCCTCTTTTTACACTTATACAAAAGAAAAGTCCAATGTTGATTCAACACGGAAGATATTATGACTAATGTAGAGCTTTGTCTTTGTCTGTCATTGAAAAAAATGACCATAGGCTCTTTTCCCTCTTTTGGTGTGTGGTGAAATATGAAAAAAGGTTTTTTATTTTATTTTATTTTACTGAGAGTGTGAACATTGAGTGAGCACCGGGGTGTTCAGTGAGACTAATACAGTTACATTACTGAGATGGATAGTTTTAGTAAATATGTTGACAAATATCAGAATTTTTGCAAGATAAAACTGTATCCAGCTACGTGACCATGCCCATCATGAAATTGTGGAAAAGAGGTTTAGTGGGCAGCATTACTCAGTGTTTTAATACACTGTACAGTATAACAGTATGAAGCAAGTATGTTTTTTTAATGTTTGTAATCGCTATTCTTGCAAGTACATTTTGTAGTCAGTTTCCTTCTGTGTGTTAGCTGGTGGGCAAACATTCGAGGTGAAAATTCTTCCACAAGGAGTGTACCTTTAAAGCAGAGAAGACCACACCAAGCTTTCTCGGCTCTGGATGTTGCTCAAGCCATTTCTCTTGATCACTTTCTTGAGTCATAGACGTGGGAAGACGCCTCCCCCATCGCCCTTCCCTCTTCCTGCCCCACCTGTTCCCATTTTTAACCATTCTGTGACTCATCTCATACGTCTTATTTTTTTCGGGACTAGTCTGGTCATCCACACTCAGCTTTTTGAGAAACATAGATATATGCATTTGTTTTGCCACCTAGCAATAGAGAGCTCTAAGAGTGCCTGTCGACAATGATAGCCAATTAGGCTGTGGCTATGCATGCACCGCCCCACTACATTAACATCATTTTCTTATTATTAAGATACAGTGAGCCAATAGCAAATTCCGTACGATGAAAAAATCAAACACATAACATTAAAAAGCAAATCATGTAACGCAAACAAGGAAAAAAAAATCTTAAATTACTTCGGACTGATTGGGTAGGCCTAGGATGCTGCAGTTGGATAGAAGGCTGGGGGAGTGCTTGTTTACACTACATTCACACTAAATTTACCTTAGAACTGATCATAAAAAATTGTCATATATTCAGTCTGCCAAAAGGCTTAACTCACACCAGGCAAGGTGGTCTTTGTTCTTTTCTACGTTCAACTTCATCTTTACGTACACTCCTGGCTCCAAGAATGTCAAAGCTGATGCCCTCTCCCACCTCCATGACCCTCCGGATCTTGATAAGTCCCCAGAACCTATTGTTCCGTTCAACAAGATCATCGCTGCTGTTCAGTGCTCTGTAGATAATCAGGTCAGACTGATAAACTTTTTGTACCTAACCAATTGCGTTCTGCAGTCTTACAGTGGGGCCATGATTCCCAGTCGTCTGGACATCCGGGTGTCAGACGCAACCTTGATCTAATTTCTAGAGAGTTCTGGCGGTCTGCTATGGAGGCCGATGTCGCCGAGTATGTATGAACTTGCCCTGCATGTGCCAGAACCAAGAAACCCCACTGCTAGAAGGCAGGACTTCTCCATCCTCTTCCCATCCTGAACTGTCCTTGGTCCCACAGTTCAGTGGATTTCATTACTGATCTTCCCAACAGCCAAGGCAGCACCACCATGACGGTCATTGGGGATCATTTTTCGAAGGCAGCCCATTTCATTCTTTTCCCCACTCCACCTTCTGCGTGAGAAATTTGTCAAACATGTCTTTCGAATTCATGGAATCCCTGAGGATGTTGTCTCAGACAGAGGTCCTCAATTCATTTCCCTCTGGTTATCACCTGGAAGCTAATGGGCAGGCTGAAAGGACCAAGCAGAGTCTCCTCACTTACCTGAGATCTTACTCTTCCGCTACTCAGGATGATTGGGCATCACTTCTTCCCTGGATGGAGTATGCCCACAATTCTTTGACCGGTAGCCGTCTTCCTTTTACTGTTCTTTAGGATATCAGCCTACTCTCACTCCTGAACCCCCCTCAGACTCTGACACTCCCTCAGTTCAAGATAACATTTTAAACTCCAATGTATGTGGGGAACAGCCAAATCCTCACTTCAGACGAGTCTGCTAACCGTTATCGGTGCCCGCCTCCCGGCAGCGAAGGGGTCAATTTGTGTGGTTGTCCACAAAGAACTTACCTCTACGCCAACCCTCCAGGAAGCTCGGTCTCAGATACCTCGGTCCATTTCACATTCTCTCTCAAGTTACTACTGTTTCTTTTCGTCTGGCACTTCCTCCAACTCTCAGAATTCATCCGACTTTTCATGTCTCCCTCCTGAAACCTTTCCATCATTCACGCCTCTCGAAGCCTCAACCTCGACCTCCTCCTCCTCATCTGATAGGTGGACTCCCGGCTTATACCGCTGACAAACTCCTGGACTCTAGATGGAACCAAGGCACCCTACAGTATCTGGTTGACTGGGAAGGCTGTGGCCCTGATCATGGGTTCCTGAAAAAGATCAATATTCAATATGTCAATTCCTTGACTTTCATGGAGCCTTACCAGATCGACTAGCTAGGGCGTCCAGAGCCCCCCTTGAAGGGGGGGGTACTGTCACACCTGCTGGAATCCTCCACACAAATGGTCTCACCCCAATCAAGCAACAGCTGGAGGCAATCCCTCCAAACACTGCAGATCAGACCCGTTAACCAATCAGGACAGCTCACTGGTTACCGCACTCTCCACACCCAGACATATTTAAACCCTCTCCCATTCTCATCTCACTGCTTGGTATTGGTAGCTCTTAAGGAACGCTTTCCCTTGCATTTTCTCTTTTGCTCTCTCTAATATTACAAGTGGCCTTGTGTCACAGATGGCGGAAAGGACGAACCGTTGGATGTCAGGAGAGTGAAGAAGACCCTATGTGTAGCGGTGAGACGGGGGTTAGCCGGGCTCAGCTGTTCAGGAGAAGCCGTATAGAAACCTAGGCCCTCAGGTAGCGGACGTGGGGCGACCTGGTGCCAGGCGGGTCTCAGGACATCCGAACATCAATGCTGAGCCAAGGCAGAATGAAAGACCCTGAAATACATAGCCCCAGAGAGAAACACCGGAAGGACAGCAGAGAACCGGAAATGAGAGACAGGACAGAGAAGGAGCGCCCTCTGGCTGCAGAGGGCGTGACACCTTGAATTCGGAACCTGTCCTCGACTTCGTTTCTCGTCTTGCGATTTGGCTTAATACTGATAACTTTCCCAGTACATCTTTTCTGACCAGCGTCCAGAACTCCGCATAGGGTCCTTTAAACTGCATCAGCACTGCGTGCCGTTACAGAAAGTCTGTGAGTCTCAGAAGCTGTTTTTTACAGGGAAAACTTGGCTCCTGGCACCATCGCAACTATCTTCCTGCGTCAAACTTGATCGACTGTGTAGTGTGTAGCTTATTAAGGATGTATTTATTCTAGCAGATGTATACTTGTAGGTGGCAATGTATATATGTGTTACATGTGTATTGCTGGAAGGTTCGGAAAAAGCCCAGTAAAAAAATGGCTATTTCTTTTAAAGGTTGTGTTAAAGCACATACACGACAGACTGTTTGAAACAGAAGCTTTAAACTCATTTAAGAGCCCTGCTTGTGTAGAGACTTCAGCACACATGCCATGAGAAAGTCATGTAGTTTCTTGAATGTTCCTCTTTTAAATACATGATTAAGTGTATGTAATGTATTTAATTTTTAGGTACTTAAGCATATTTATTGTAGTGTTTGCTCACAACTCTCAACAGAGTTCAGTTGTGAAAAAGAACACAGCCCAGCCCTGCCTGGTTCAGCACTGCTCCCTCCTGTACACTCGTACTGCCTTCATGCTCTGTTCAGAGGAGACAGTCATGCTGGGGTCAGGAGGAAGGAAGAAACCGAAAACTGTCTGTGAGAAGCATCTGTTTACAGGTGAGTCTCTGGGATCCCCATGACACTGTCTCTGGAAGAGAGCTCAGCCCACAGCTCTGAGTGTCCTGTCCTGCTCACTGTCCTGTCTCTGGAAGAGAGCTCAGCCCACAGCTCTGAGTG